ATTACCTACATTAGTGTTTCTTAATCGGAGTGAAGTGGGGATTGACTTTGTCGGACATTAATAGTCTCCATAATATCTCCTTTCATATCATCTTTAAAGCAAAACCAACCCAAACATGGCAAAAAAAATGCAGTTGTTTTCAAAACCAACACTGAAAAACCTTTCTTTGGGGGTAAACTAGTAAAAGGATTATTGGAATTTCTTTTCAAATGACAGAAATTTAATGTCCTTTTAATATACAATGAAATAGAGAAACCATTTTATTGAACCAATTTGACTTATGACTCAATTTTATTTTGTTGCATATAGTTTGCAATTAGTACGTGATGATATTACTCAAGTTCTATAAAGAAATGAAACAATATCTGATATGGTAAACTGTTACAATCCGCGTAAATTTATAAAGTAGCAAGTCTTCTATTATAAGAAAGGATGACTTGTAATTCTTAACTCCAGCAGAGAATATGTAATTATATTATTTTAAAAATTGAGGTGTCAAACAAGTCTACAGGTTCGGTTTATTTCTTCCTAATGTTTCGGGTTAGGTATTTTCTGTCGTTTTCCCAGAATGTTTGATGATTCTTAGACGTTTACGCTTGTTATGTCATTGTTGCATAATTTATGAGCAACCAAATCAAAGACTGAATAATACCTATTATGCAGTGCTTTTTCTATTCCAGTTAAAAGATAATGTAATTCGCATATATGAAGAAAATAGTACATTAGCTGAATTGTGTTTAGTTTTAATTAATTAGGCTTGTTCATTTTGAGTTAAGTATCTATATATATTATATATAAAAGAGGACCAACTTTCTCCAGCTAAGTGACACATCAGCATTTGAGAATTAATATGGGATGACATGTGTCACTTTTTATAATTTAAAGTTACAATTTCAAAAAAAATAATAAATTATTAACTTTTAATATCAAGGTTTAAACCACTCAAAGAAAATGAACAGTTTTTTCATTAATTGATTGATATTGATTGATATTTATTTTATTGTTATATAATTATCATTTATTTAATGATATTGTATTTTAAATTGATTTCTAAAATTATTATTTGGATAAATTTTTTAAAATTATTTATAATAACATACTAATACACATAACAAATAATAAATTTTTTATTTTTTTATTATATTTCATTTTAAATTGATTTCTAAAATTATTTTCTTTTTTGGATAAAAGTTCTAAAATTATTTATAATAACATATTAACACACATAACAAATAATAATTATATTTGTTTTTATATTTATGATATTGTATTTTAAATTAATTTTTAAAATTATTTTTTTATATAAAATTTCTAAAATTTTTTATAATAACGTATCAATACACAACAACAAATAATAATTATATTTGATTTTATATAAAATTTGATTAGTTAAAAAGAAAAATACGCACATTATGTGCGGGTATTCACCTAGTATAAAGTAAAATGTTCTCTCTTCTCATTCTCATGACGCCACATCATTTTCTCAAACTCTAAAATTTTGACACATCATCAATTCATTTATTAATTTATAGTTTATTATATTTTATGTTATTATACTTTAATTTTCATAGTAACTATCCTCCATTAATATAACAAGAATATGAATAGACACTCTTTATAAATAATAGTTTATATATTAATGCATTTAGTCATTATTATTTTAAATTATTTATTTTATTTATATGATTCAATAGATATGTATAGTAAAACATAAAATTTTAAGATAGCCAGATTTGGATCCAGTTTTGTCAAATCCGAAAAACTAATTCTCGGATCCAAATTTTTTAATATCTAAAAATATCCAAATTCGTTTTAAAACCGATATAAAACACTAGAATATAACAAAAGACATAAATTTGAAGAAAATTAGAATAATAAATTATAAAATTAAAATGCATATAGACGGGTTAGGAATATTTGTACGAGTTTCAAAAAGCTCAAGTGACAATTATATCATTTTCTATTTTAATTATTTTTGTTATTTGTAATAGAATATCATGTAATAATTTACAAAATAAAATTTTATTTTTTAAAATGGCTACTTAAATAATAATATAGAGAGTGAGAATGTATATTTGTGAAACAAATTGTGGTATCACAAAATGTTAACATGTTCAACCTAATCTTTGAAACATAAAATGGGTGAAATTCCCCTTAAAAATTATACAGAGCTCAGGTTAGAGATGTGACATTGAGAGTGACTAGAAAAAAGAAAAACCTGAGAAAGATAGAAATTTTAACCGGTCCAATATGTTGTGTGTGGTTCAACATGTTGCATTGATGAGAGAGAGAACATAAAAGGGAAACGGAGAGTGAGAGGGAAAAGGATAGTGAGAGGGAAAGGGAGAGGGATAGGTAGATGGAGAAGGAGAGGGAGAGGGAGATGGAGAAGGAGAGAGAAAGGGAGATGGAGAGGGAAATGGGTGTAAAAAAAAAATTATGAATATATTTTGAAAATATGTTAGGGAATTAAGATATTTTTAAATAATTAATTGCATTTTACATATATTTTTTTCCTGAATGCAACAATTAATAATTATATATGTTCCAAAATCATAAATTCGCATAAATATAAAGATATCTATAAACTAAAATTGATTTAAAGTTTTAATTGATATATTATTTGATTATTTTTTAAATGTTTTATATAAATTATAAAATACAATAAGTATATATAAAAAATGAAAATACAAAATCTAATGAAAAAAATTGATCTTGTAGAGTTTTTTCTTAAATATGTCAATAAATACAATACAAAATTCCGCGCGAAGCGCGGATCAGCCCCTAGTATAAGTAATAGTAGGTATGAGTCGGCTAAATATATAGAGTTTCCGAACTGTTTCCTTAAAAACAGGTTGGATAATGTGGATAACAAAAATTACTACCCTAGTCGGATTCTGTTTCGGATTTTTATGGGTAATTTTGGATAATGTTGATAATTATTTATATTAATTTTAGGGAGAAATTTCATAGTTGTGAGTACCATAAAATTTATCAGAATTTGAAATATATTTTCAATCTTGAATTTCTAATGGATGACTAATATATCACAATAAATATCCTATATTTATCTTTATCTTTATCTTCACCTAAAATGAATAAACTTTTTTAAGTGTCAATGAAAATTTTGAGTAATTCGGGTCATCAGAACCTACGCGAAATACAGCAAATAATTATTAATAAAATAATAATAAAACTTTAATGATTTTTTTGGAAATGAGTAAATTCTTTCAAATATAAAACATTATTTTCTTTGTGACAAAATAGGCCAACTAAAATAAAACTAAGGGAGTATAAGGTACTAATTTATACTATAATAATTAGAAATCATAAATTTGAAAGTTATCCTAATAAATAGTAACTAGTTATACCTTTTTCGTACAAAAACTATATTTTATAAATACATTAATAAACAACTATATATACCTTGATAAATAGTTATCTTAATAAATAGTAACTATTTATACCTTCCAAAATAATTGTAGTACTTATATAAAATACTACAATAGTTTATGAATTATTTTATTTTATCTACTAAATAGTACAAATCTGTCCAATGATTCTGATAATGATAATGATATGTCATATTACTATCTATTAAAATAAGATTTTCGTATTTTTAAAAAGTTCTGGTAGAGCCATAGAATAACAAACTAAGACATGGAAAGCTTGAATCAGTATTATGGCAAATTTAGCCACAAATTGGTCACTGTTGTTGTAGAACTAGCTACGAAATGTTATGTATCTGTCCATGACTAGACAAGCTATGGATTGGCAATGTTTTTGCCCGTAACAAATGAACCATGTACGGATTAGCTACGTTTATAATCGTAGCTAATTAAGACGTGGCAATTACTTTGCTAATTAACTATGGAAATCCTGTGATACTCTGCTGTTATTTGTGCCACGAATCTGATTACAATTAGCTACAAAGCTATAACTAGGTAATAATCTATAGTTATACAACTTTTTTAAAGTAGTGTATGTGAAAAAAGTTGTTCAGAATGTATCTTTCATTTAACTGTTACGAAAAAGTATAGAATTTTTTTTTATTAATCATTATTTTGTTTGATGTTATTTTGTTATTTGGATGTCTAGCTTATGTGGATTGCTTCAAATTTTATTGAGTTCAAAATTTCTTTCATCTGAGAATAGCAAATACGTGGGAAACAAAACTTAATGATGTATTGAAATTTTTGTGATTTTACTAATGACGCCTGCTGGAACACAACACCTGATCAGCCACACGTTCCAACTTTAATATATTAAAAATGATTCTAAACATTTCCCTCCTTTCGCAATAATGCCAAAGTGCCGTTTAAGTTTTTTTGTTATATATTAAAAAAACATATAACAAAGTAATTATACCCCTAAAACATGTTGGTCATTAATTTATTAGTGTTCTTCATTAGATGTTAAATTAGATATTTAAATAACACTGAAAAATTAAAACAACACTTATTTGAAATATAAAAATTAAATTAATTTTTAATTTGAAATGACATAGTATTTCTTCTTTTTTTTTCCTTGGCCAAATTCTATTATTCGACTGTAATTTATATGAACGATAAATGTCTTTGGTAATGTCAACCAAGGGACTAAGCTCAAAATATACATATATGAAGTAAATTAACATTCTGTTAATCACAATTTCAAATAGATTAAAAGAAATTCAAATTGTTATTTTGAAATGTTGTATAATTCTCACAAATACAATTTGAAAATATTTAATAAGTAGTATATAATAGTGTCAAAGCTAAAACTAAACACTATTGTTAGATATTTGCTCCCCTTGGAGCTCGGAAATTTTAGAGAAAGTTCTAGTTTAGAGTGTGGTTGTTAATATTTATCATATTTTAAATATTTAACTCAGATGTAATTTAATATTGGTTTTTTTAGTGAACGTAGGTAGATCTACAAATAGTAGATATGATGGGTCAACAATAATATGGTCAATGTTACGTGCCTATATAATCGTCCCTTGACTTCAAAGGTCTAGTGACCAAACACAAAATATACTCTGTTCTTTCTTATTCATTTGATAACTCTTAGTCATTTATATGGAATCTAATTGTGTCCATTTTCTCCAGAACAAGACGATTCTCGTCACCGGGATACCTGGTTTTCTTGCCAAAGGTACCCTCTTTTCGTACATCGCCAGTTCGATTTATATGATTGATTAAATGTTATGTATGCACCACAAGGAAGATTGTGTGATTCAATCCAAATTTCTCTTGTTGATTTTTCTAGTGATGACAAAGGTTCATTACGGCTTTGAATTGCAGTTGCGTGGCATGTATAACAAGTTTTCGTGAATAATAACATCATCTTTGGTATTATATTATTCATTTCATTCATGTGTTGTTCATTCTCTTTTTGTGGTCCATGCATTCTATACGTATACATATAGTTCATTATATCCCATTTCGAATCAAACAAATTCTGAATTTCTATTTGAACTAGTTTATATTTTCTGATGGTTAACATAATTAATGCATGATCTTCTTTTTGATCAATAATGCATTAAAAACATTAAAGTGTTTTTGGAGAAAATATTGAGGGTACAACCAAAAGTGAAGAAGCTCTACCTTCTCTTGAGATCAGTAAACAATGAATCAGCCATGCAACGGTTTCGCACTGAGGTATAGCTCAAACATTTCGTTAGATATATATAGTAGATATTAATGAAGATTATATAAGCTTTATAACCGAATATTATCTAAATATATTAGAAATTTTACGAATAGGATTTGACCTACATATGCAACAATACAACAGGTTTTGGAGAAAGATCTTTTTAGAGTGTTGAGGAATGATATAGGTGATGCAAGTCTGAATGATTTAGTGATGGAAAAAGTTGTCCCGATTCCGGGTGATATTTCAATTGATAATCTTGGATTGAAGGACTCTAATCTTTTAGAACATATGTGGAATGAGATCGATATCGTTGTCAATGTTGCTGCGACAACGAACTTCGATGAAAGGTGAAGAATTCAAAAAGAATTGAAAACCATTCAATTTTTTTTTCTTTCCAAATATGTGATGTTAATTTCCCCGTTCTTAAGCGTTTTATCCTTGAATACTATATTGAAAATCTAATATTAAATTTAATTTTACAATATGTATAAAAAAAGATATGATATTGGTCTTAGCATCAACACATTTGGACCGCTCAATGTCCTCAACTTTGCCAAGAAGTGTGTTAAAGCACAGTTGCTTCTCCATGTCTCAACCGGTGAGTTCTATAATTTATATATATATATATATATTATTATTTGAGTAGACATTTACATAAATGAATCTTTATTTATAAAATATTACAAAATATTTTACATAAATGAACATTTATTTATAAAATATTATATAAATAAACTTTACAAATATAAAAAGCTCAATTAAATATTCCTCCATAAGAAATAGTTAAATATAAAGCTCACAAATTTGTTTTCAATATATAGATATAAATCAAAAGTATTTAGCTTTTTTACTTATTACAGTATTAAAATATATTCTATTATTTTAAATAATTATCAATCCATATATATAAAATATATATATTTATAGCTTTTAATATTTTTCATTTGTATTTTCATAATTAATTAGTATTATTTTTGAAAAACAATTCAATTCTTTTTATAAAAAAATGAAATATGTTTTCAAAATTTAAATTATATTTTTTTATGGATTGATCAAAAAAATATTTTAGTAGATTACAAATAGATTAAGTAGATGGGTTTGTCCACTTTGATAATCGTATATATAATCATTATTAACACATATTATATAATTCATTAACTAAAAATGATAGTTTGATCTCTTTAAAATATTCACAATTAATTTCTTTTTTTTATGGATATATATATTTAAATTATAATTCATGTTAGTATGTATATAATTATATATATATATATATATTAACATCATATCACTTTCACATTTAAAAACTATTAATAATTAAAATGCATAACAAAACTAGCTCAAACTCCTATTACAAGTAAATATCAGTTTTGTGATATTTATATATGTATTTTTATTTAATTATCACCAATTTTATTTATTTATATTTTTTGTTAAAAGATTTTAACCACCAATTTTATTTTAACCAAAAACATTAAAATTAAATTTAAAAATAATTTAAAAAATATTATCCGCACAATACTGGTTAATTTCTAGTTTATATATTTATTTAGACAGTATTTAACGAATCATAAAGTTATAGACACATTAAATTTCTATTGTTGTAGCGTATGTGTGTGGAGAGAAATCAGGACTCCTACAAGAGAAAACCTTCCGCATGGGAGAAACGTTGAATGGAAATGGAAAACTAGTTATCGATACTGAGTTAGAGCTAATGAAGCAGAAACTGAAAGAACTGCAGAAACAAGATTGTTCTGAAGAAGAGATTGCAGAGACGATGAAGGATCTTGGAATGTCAAGGTCAGTGTAATGATCACAAACTAGTTCTTACATAGAATTGATAATATTCTTCGAGGCTGAATCAAACTGTTCTTAATTATTAGGGCAAAGCTTCATGGATGGCCAAACACATATGTATTTACCAAATCAATGGGAGAGATGCTTCTTGGTTACCATAGAGAAAATCTTCCTCTAGTTATTATCCGTCCTACGATGATCACTAGCACTTTTTCAGAACCATTTCCTGGTTGGATTGAAGGGCTAAGGTAAAAATCTATCGTTATATTGATTGATCATATAAACAATTTCGACTTGTGGTTTGTCAAATTCATCACACTCGTTTTGTTCTATATAAATGCAGAACCATAGATAGTGTGATTGTTGCATTTGGCAAAGGAAGGCTCAAATGTTTTCTTGCGGATCCAAACTCAGTCCTTGATCTTGTAAGCTCAACTAGTTTTGATTTTTTTAAACCCTTTACGCGTTTGCGTTTACATAAAGAAAAATTATCCTAAGGTCGTGGTTTCATGTGGAACAAAATACAATATAATCGATTATAAAAGCAATCTCACACGCAAACAATCTATTCAAGGTTATGTATTCTATTGTGGTGCATTAAATTCAACATTCGCAGATACCTGTGGATATGGTCGCAAACGCAATGGTCATGGCGGCAGCAATACACGCTGGAGAGTCAGGCTCTCAGACCGTGTACCATGTGGGCTCGTCTTGTAAGAACCCGATAACATTCGAACAGCTTCACGACCTCGCGGCTCGCTATTTCGCCAAAAGCCCTCTTGTTGGGCGCGACGGCTCACCCGTCATAGTCTCCAAAGGCACGATATTGTCCACCATGGCTCAGTTTAGCTTCTACATAGCTCTTCGTTACAAGCTACCTTTGCAGGTACGCATCATTTTTTTTCTTAAATAATATATAATACTAACATCAAGTGGCCAAATGTTGAGATCTTGGTATCATGTGATTTTGAGAATAGACCTAAAAACATATTGATAAGAATAAAAAGATTTTTATAAAATTGTTTATAAATATTCTTAAGTAAATTTTATATTTATCAGATGTTGCGGCTGATAAATATAGTTTATCCATGGTGGAATGGAAATAAATACAAAGACATTGACCGCAAAATTAAGCTTGCGATGCGGCTAGTGGAGCTCTATAGACCTTATGTCTTGTTTAAGGGAATGTATGTATCTGTCTAAAACTTTTAACAAACAATTTTTACTCTGTATTTAATTCTCACTCTTCTACTTAATTCTTTTTTTTTTAATCTTATTTTTGTAGATTTGACGATATGAACACTGAGCGAGTACGCTTTAAAAGAAGGGAGATCAATAAAGAAATACATGGTTTGTTCGAATTTGACCCGAAGTCTATTAATTGGGACGATTACATCATGAACATTCATATTCCCGGCCTCATCACCTATGTACTAAAAAAATGAAACTTCTAGAATATTCAAATTTGTATTAAAACATTTCCTTTGTTAATTTATTAAAATGTATGTTGGCAAACAAAATGGTGTGTATTGCGGTCTCTAACTCTCTATAATATTATTTAAGAAGTTGTATATGTAATGTTACGGTCACATTAATTTTTTCGAGGTCAATTATAAAGGTATCTTTAATAATAAAATATCTTGAGCTAATTAAGTTTTATTTTGTGGGTTAACAACAAAATTTACTATTTATATAAACAGAAAATTATTTAAAACGCCATTAATGAATTTTGTTATTTATGATCACATGCCATTATTAATGTAACTGTTTTCAATTTTTTTCCAAGACCTGCCTGAATAAAATCAAATTTGTATATTGATGCATGAAACTTATTTTCTGAACAATGAGTTACAAAAATATTTGATCAAGCTTCCACTAACGATCATGGAAAAAAATAAAAAAACAGTTAACACTTATGTAGCCCTTTTTTTTAACATCATATATAGCCCATTTGTTTTATATAGCCCATTAAATGAGTCAAATCATGAGCAAGAGAAATTCAGTGAAGCCATATCCTTATGGTATATTGAAAGTTAAAACACTAAAACAAAAATTGTTAGTTTGATTTATGTATATATTCTTTTTGTTGGTGCATATAACCTTATGAATAATAACACATTTTATATGAATTATGGAAACACTAAACAAAACAATGAATAACAAGCTAATGGGCCCGCACGGTGTGCGGGCTACAAATACTTAGTAAATAAAATGTTAGAATTCAAAAAATAATTTATTTATTATATGTTATAATATTTTATCGTTTTTATTTATTTATACTAAATTAGAATTCTGAATGAATCTTTTTTAAAAAGAAAAACTAAAATCGATAATTACTCACAAATGATATATGTAATTTATCGATAAAGTCTAATTCAAGTGAGTCATTTCATAATGCAATTTCCCACCATATCCATTACATGCAATCTCATTGACACTTTCAAAGAGAAATGAATTGATATGATCTTTATAAAATTTCCTCTATCATAACCTTCACACTCCACACACATATCTTGCAGATCAATTGTGATTCTTTGTTGTTTTAGAAGATATGTTGATAAGTGTTTTTAAGAACCATGTAGAGAAAAAGATAGCTATAAACCATGACGATGTTTTAATGTTGGTGTTTCAACATTTTCATTGGCTCCGTTGAGTTGGAAGCTGATAGGGTCAAAGATTCATAATATTGGAAATTTCTTCGAAACAATAATTGTTTAAATATATTATCAATGTTTTTCAATATATAATTGTTTAATTGATTTTTTGTATAAAACTCAATCCATAGTTTTATCCACAGTTGTTCCTTATATAATAGTAAAAAAAAAAAGAATTTATTTGTTCTCTATGACTTTAGAGTGTTTTTTCTTTTGTTTTGCTATCATGTGGATCATGCAATTATTAGAAATGATTAGAATCATTGAATTTTCATTGTTAAAGGGTATCGGCACCATAGCATGTACAAAATGTAACTGAAATTAGAAAATTTATGTAAAATTTAGATTTTTTATATATATCTTTTCGCCATGGTAGATCAATAAATAAACATTTACTTTTATTATAAATCTGTGCAAAAATAATATTCAATATTAATCTTGTTTATTTTTGAAGTATTAATTAACATATAATATATATTTTTTCTATGGTTGACAATCTTATCAAAGCCATCGAATACGAGCATATAATATTTTCTCCAAATTTAAGAAAAACCACAAATGAAAAGATTAGATTCAGTACAATCTCCATGAAAAAAATTTAAAGAGAAGCCCGTAAAAAAGATGTGATTGGTTTCTTATGTGTGCTTTAATGAAGTTTAGAAACAAAGAATCAAGTTTGCAATGAGCAGCAGCAACATCAACAATGAACTGCCTTAGACCAAGTACTTTCTCTCTCAGTTATATTCCATCATCATGCAGAATCCACACCAAAAAAAGCCATGAGCCACCAAATCTATTAAGAAATAAAATATGTGACTTGAGCCAAAAGGTAAAACGATTAAACTGTTATCCCTCGAGAGACTTCTTCATCTTCTGACGTCCTCATGTCTCTAATTTATTCTCTATTATCTCCTCAAAGAGGATTGCATACTTTTTGATCGCACTATCTTCCGCATAAGTGTCGTCTCCTAATTTTCTTCTCTTGAAGTACATAGTTTGGACTCATAAAAAGTCAATAAACTAAACCATTTTTAAACACAAAAAGCTTATCTTTGGAGACATGTAGATAGAGAGGCACCTACGCTATAACACGAAATATACAGGATGAACAAACGTTGATTAATACTCTGTTTTTTCAAAAACTGCAGGAACATGAAGAAGAGAAAGCAAAGGAACACTCCTTAGTTAAAGGAGAAAGGAACCGAGATGTTTGAAGTGGAGGTGGTGTTCTTAGCGGAGGATTCAATGAGAACGTTATATAGCAGAGACGATGATGTTAACGATTAACTTCCATTATTGTAATTATGGTTGGCTCGATGACCATAGTGTGTTTTGGCCTTATAGTAGGGTAAGGCCACTTGTAATTTTGTAATGAACATTTCACCAGCAGAGTGGAGCTTCTCTCTGTAGCTTTCATTTCTTCTTCTTCTTTGAAAAGTCTAACTTTAAAGAACTGATACGACTTCTGAGTTTGCAAAGCAAACTGTCGTTGAGATCAGGGCCATCACATCTTTATTTCACATCCTGTGATATATTTGCGCCTCCACTAAGTTCTTTTGTCAGATGAAATTAAACCATCATCTACACACTAAATGGTCAGTCAATCAGTAACTTTTAGGCCATAAGATGACATAAACATATAGATTAATGGTTTGTAGAAGTTAGTAGACAGTACTAAAGGAAAAAATTCATGACTATGGAAACAGTAAATTATTTTGTATCTCTAGAGTTAGAGCTGGATTCTTGGTTAGACGCCTAAGTGGCTCAAGTAAAGCCAAGCTAACCGCATAAGTAAAAAAGAGAAAAAAAATTGCAGCAAGTGTAATAGATAATATATCGTAAAGCACAAACAAAATTATTGTAAAAAAAGATCAAATAATGATCAGACAAAGAAGCACCCTCTTTTCCGTTTTATTTTGGAAATCGATCTCAATATCTTTACAACCATCAAAACCAAAATTTGTAACCCAAGAGGCACAATCAAAATTAAAATGACAACATACAATATTTTCATAAACAACATGAACCAAATCCATTTAATATTATAAGGAACAAACAAAACAAAAATACATAGTGATAAACCATCACCGATTTAATCCAGAATTGAGGATACTTGGCCATACAAAACAAAAGATTAGGTTAGGATACTTGATCTATTCGAGTAAATTTGAGACTGAAAGGTGTATAGGTTCATAGAGACTGGTGTGTATATGTTCATATGATGTGCGAGGTTCATATGATATTCACCTCCGAGTTCCCTGGGGTAATCTGTTGTTATATTTGGTGTTCAATTTGTTCCTTATGATAGAGCTTAAGTATTATATTTCTTCATTTTGTAAATAGCGAATGTTATTAGGGTTTGTTAGGTTTTACTAAATATTTTATTAAAATTTAAAAAACAGTTTGATTGATAATGTAATGAAGCATTAAACCAATGTTTTTAAACCCGACTCGGATAATGACTCGGAAATTTCATCGGGTTGTCGGGTCACTAGTTCAACCTGGATCAATCCAAGTCAACTGCAAGCCAACTAAGTATATAGTTTGTTATTGTTGTTTTTATGAAGCTCATCATTTTAGTTACATTTTTTCTGATGTGTGTAACAAAAAGAATTATTCTAAAAATTTATGTTACCCAATCAAATTAATTATCAAATATTTTTTTATACATTTTTATTTTTCTCAATAAAATTTTAAATAACATAAACACTAAGTATAGTGATCATTTTAATTATATTTTTCACATCTATAATTATTTTATATTTTATATTTTTTCATTCAATTTATTTTCTTTTCAAACTATTAAATTTTTATCAGAAAATATTATATTAGAAAATTTATTAATGTGTAATGGTGAAAAGGTAACAAACTATTCAATAAAATAAAAGAAAACAAACAGTTATTGCCACTAAATATTAAATATATATATATATATTAATTATCTCATAAAATCCAAAAAAGTAATGCAGAAACCCTAGCCAATATCTTTTGATTTTGTTGCCGCCTCCTCTTCTTCATCTTCTGTTAGTCTAAGACTCTAAGTTTTTCTGCTGTTCTAATTTGCTTTTCAGAACTTTTGTTTTTTAGAAAAAGAATCTCATCGATGTAGTAGATTATCGATGGATATAACTATTACGTTTCTTTCAAACCAGAAAATGTCCGGGTCGGATTTTTGCCGGTCCACTGGGTTTGAGCAAGTTTTTCTGGGTTTGAACAGTTTAATAGCATTTCGAATTTTCAACAAAAGCCAAATCGGAAAGCTTGTTGGGTCGCGGTTCAACCGATCGGACCATCCGGTCCGGTCCGAAACTGAAAATAGTGCATTAAACCACAATAATTTAAGATCGATATGTTTTAAGTTATTTTAACACATCATCAAATAAGATAGGGCCATAGTATGGCATTTTGGGGTGGGGTTGGGGGAGGGGGTGGGGCGAAAGGTTCTAAGCTAGAAGTCCACTTGCAACCATCACAAAGACAAATGCTTGTTCGGGTCCCAAATGAGTTTACCAGAACAAAAATATTAGATAAAAAACTTTGGTATGTTGATACCTCGATATTCCATATTGTTCAATGGGCTCCACTTCTACAACTGTTACTTTTGAGTTCGTCTTTATTCCTCTGTAGGCTCATCTTCATGGAATTCCATTTGATCTGCATACTTAAGAGGGTCTGAGTTTAGCTGTTGGATTTGTTGGTGAGCCAATTGAAACAGATGACTACATAAAAAATATCTCTAGTCTCAGTGTTGCTCATGTAAAAGTTGAAGCAAACCTCAAAAAACTACTTTCGTCTACTGGTGATTTTTTTAGAGAGAATGAAGAAATCAGTGATCTTGGAATAGACTACCCTTGGATGCCTCCTTTCTATTCTCACTGCAATGAGATGGGTCATATTTTCAAAAACTGTATTAACCCTCTGGCT